CACTCCTTCAGAACAAAGCCCAGGAGTGGAAGCCAGGCTCCCATGAGTGCAGGGACATTCCAGCCGTTCTCTGAGTGCTGCTCCTTAACCCAAAGCATCTGTCTTCTCTGACCGCAGAAGCTGCCTTCCCCCTGGTTAGCCTGCACTGGGCAGAAGGCATCTAGTCTCAGGCCACTGGAGGATGGGGCCATTACCTGGGCTCTGGGGTCCTGCCCTGCACGTCTGCAACTGAGGTGCTGTCTAAACCTCCCTCCATGTGTCCTGCCTTCCAGCCTGACCCTGACACACAGGGGTGCCGGGGCTCCCGCCCAGCACCCGGAGCTCTGGCATCTGCCACCTTTGCAGCCCTCTGATAATGCGCTTAGCCTGGCAGTGTGCAGACCTGCCCAGCCCCTGCACCAGCCTCTCCTGGCCGGGCACTGCCACCACTGCCCCTATTTCTTTTTGGGCCACCCCCCAACAGCAAAGTTCTCAATCCTGAGCCAAGCCAGAGGCTGGTGCCTGCACCCTGCTGTGGGGATAATGGCCTCCAGGCAACCCCCCACCCCACCCCCCACAGTAAAATCCAGCTCTGCCAAGGGAGCACTTTTGAGCTTGCTCCTCTCGAGGAAACCTCTGCCCAAAAGGAAATGCTGCCTGGCGTGTGTCTGTGTGTCTGCACATCTCTACACATCTGCCCACACTCCCGGACGTGACACAGAGCGGCTTCACCCCCACGGAGGGGAGACCAGGAGAGGAGGGGCTGGAGAGCAGCTGTTCTGACCCTGTCTCAGTTCTGCATTAAGATCCTGGGTAGGGGCAGGGAGGTGCCTTCTCAATCTTCCAACGCCCATGACAGCCTCCAATTCTGACTCAGTTGGTCTAGAATGGGGCCTGAATGTTCATATAATTTTACAAGCAAACTTCCCAGGTGATTTTAATGTGCAGCCAGAGCTGAGGGATGCTGATTTGGGAAGAAAGAAACAGACCATCAGCTGAGACTCCTCCCACCCACCCCCCACTGTACACAGGTGGATGAGAAAACAAGCTTCAAAGTACTCCCTGTCCAGTCTACAGAGTAACCATGAGAACTGCATGTTGAGTTTCGGCACCACGCTTCATTCAGACAGCATCTCTTTAACCAATCTGAGCCTCAGTTTCCCCATCTGAGCAAAGCTGTGTTTTGCTTCTCCCATCCCTCAGTTTATACATCTTTTCTCTGTCTCTCATTTATATGCAGACCATTAATACATCTGCCTTTCTACCCCACAAAAATGCTTTATGAGTTGCCTTGAAATTAGATTTCAACAGCACCTGTCCGCTAAGTAAATAACACCACAGAAACCATCAACTCTATAATCCAAGCCAAGGTGCGTTACACCAATGATGTGAGATACGGTGTTGCACAAAACGCTCCACTCAGGGGCTGCAGCTAACCTCTGTCTGAAGAAGCTGGTGCTGAGCGCACAGATCCAGCCCACTGCTGTCGAGGTCAGCACAGCAGCCGCCCACCCTGATGTTTATTGGGATTTTTTTTTCTCTCTGAGCTTAATATCTACTTATCCAGTAGAAAATTCATTTTGGAATTATTTTCAGGGCAAGTACGAAGACGTCCTTAAGGATATATCAGCTCCGTGACTTTAATCCAATGAAATAAATAAATCTCTCACCCCACAATGAACTCCGCATGTAGGAGGGCAAGCCGCTCTCAAATAGGCCTTTGGCATAAAAAACAGCATGGAAATATACAAACGACTGGGGGATATGGTGGAATCCAGAAGGAAGGGGATCCTGTCTCCAATGACTTAGTTATGGAAAGCCCCAAAATATTTTTTTTCTTATATGCTGCTTCAGAAAATATCAATATTCTAGATAGAATCCTAAATCAGGGCTGAGTTCTAAAACTGGACAGTCAACTGGTCATCTCCACCTGAACATCTCCAAGGTCCCCAAATTCAGTGTGTCTATAAGAGAACTTGTCCGCTGCCTGGCTGCTCCTGTATTTCTGATTGTGGTTAATTCGGCCACCATTCACCCAGTCATCCAACTCAGACACCCAGAAGTCCCCCTCAGTGCTCTACCCACTCCTTCCAAATCCCCAAGTACTGGAGAGTCCACCTGTTCACACTCTCATGTCTGCCCCTTCCAGCCCAACACCACCGCTGCTGGTTCAGTTTGTTCCCTCTCCACTTCTCTACCACAGTCTTCCAAGGGCCTCCCCGCTATCCCCCTGCGGGTACTGAGTCCCGGCTCCTCCATATCCTGCCATGAATCATCCTCATGGAACAGTCCTGATCATACCGCTCCTTTCATTAAAAACCCTTTGCTGGTTCCCCACTCTCTACGGCAGTGTTTTTCTTCCTTTATTATCTCACGGCACACTTGAACCTACAGTTAAACTTCCATGCCGCACTTAAATTATGTTGATCAAAAATAAAAGAGAAAGAAAATACCCTTGCTGTGCTTTGAACGTCTTTGGAAAATAATTTAATTAGTGATGTTTAAAATTTTTCTCGGCATACCTAAGATCCTCTCATGACACACCAGGGTGCCACAGCACAGGAGTTGAAAATCACTGTTCCTCAGGATGAAGTTCAAAGTCCAGGTATGCGAGGCCCTCGGCAATCCCACCTCTCCACCCACAGGTGTTCCCCAGCCTCTCGCATCTCCTCATCACTATTTGGGCTGGGGCTTCTGGCTAGAATCTCCCTCTGCATTTCTGATCCAGCAAAACATACTCATTGTCTGGACCCACCTCTTTCATGAAACCTTCCTTCACATGCCACTCAAAGAAAGAACAAAACACCCCTACCCTTGGTCATGCTCCTATTTAGTGACAAAACTGTGAGCTCCCAGAGGGTAAGAATTGTATCTCATCTCTTAAATTCAGTGCTTAGCGGTGCTGCCCGACGCACAGTGGGAACTTAATAAATATCTGCTAAATGAATGAATGTCTCCATGGCAACACTCAGAGTGGTTCCTTCTTCTCAGCCCAGAGACTTTGCTTTCAGCTGCTTATGATACGAAACTTCCTCTTGTTCCCCATATAAATCATCCACAGAGGACCCCCAAAAATAAATCCATACGGGAGACCAATCACCTTCTTATCCCGGAGAAATCATTTCTTTGTTCTTTACTCCTGAAAGGGAGGGGGTCACGCTTCAAGGCACCCAGGCAGCTGAGAGTAAGAAACTATTGGAACAAGGTCTTCCAAACCCCTGACCTCTCCCTGAAGTGACTGCCTGAGTGAGACACAGATGAAGACACTAATTAAAGCAGACCATCCACAGCATAAGCAGGACTGGTTTATAAAACCTACATCCGTGCCCCCTGCCCATGAAGATGGAAAATAACACCAAGAATCAAACTGACTTCCTCAGTTTTTCTAAGCTTGTAACAGTCACATAAAAATAAAGGCATCCCCCTCCACTCAGCAGTGGATCCCCCCTCAGCTTACAAGACAGAGCCTTTGGAAAGTTCTGGGCCTACCCAGAACTCCATCCAAAATGTCAAATTATCAATAATGTGTCTGCAACTTAATGTCACCAGCAAGTAACTTCATCTGCAGCACTGATTTCATATTGGAAAATGGGCAATTTAAATTAATGTTTCATTAACATAGTGTTTTCCTGCTTGATGCTAATGTACTTAATTTGTTTCCCCAGCTTCTCTTCCATAGAATCATTTCCTGCACTCCTCCTCAGGATAATCTGAAACTCCTTGGGCTCCTAATAGACAATCCAGAGAACCTAGAAACCAGCCCAACAACCAAACAAATAAGCGAAAACCCTTACGAAAAAGAGCTATGGAGACCCATTCCTTCTTCAACACTTATCACGTCTGTTGCGTGAAAAAAGGTCAGAACAGGACAGACCTTCCTGACCACCGCAGTGGTGCTGAGTTTATATGGAGGGGGCAAAGCATCGCTCGGGACCCAGTGAGAGAGAAATAGGAGAGAGGGGTTACACAGGAAAAATGTGAGGAACGGGACATTTTGTTTTGAGACCCTAGAAGGCTTGTCCTCATTCCGCGTTTCCTTATCTGTACAGGGATTCTTGCTATGTGCTGGTTCCAAATCCCAAAAATTTCAAGGATATTTCGAACACCTCTTATTAATAGCAACTCTTAAAAAATGTCCTTAGCACACTGTTCAGATACACTGCAAGTATGCACAAGCAGGTACCTTATAAGGGCCTGTTCCCCCAGACCCCCTGAGACACAGGGGGGTGGCCTAACCATGACAGCACACGGAGCAGAACCAGACTCCCTGCTAATGAAAGAGCATCCCGGGATACATTCATCTACGTGCACTATTATCACAGAGAGGGCAAGATTTAGATGCAATTCCATTACACATAAGGAGCAATAATAAAACTCAATGAAGAGGGGAAGCCCCCTGTGGAACCTGCTGGGTACCTGAGGCCACGTCTATGGCAAAGAGGGGGAGAAACTGTAAGCTAATGTAGAGTAACCCTGGAGGGCTGATGTTCCAGGCTCTGCCACTTACAAGCAGCAAGGCTTTGGGCTCATGGCTTTATTTTGTGAGTGTCATTTCCTTAGTATAAAATAAAGCAGCAGTAATGGCAGTAGCAGTAACACTACTCACAGCAGCAGCGGCAGCAGTGACCTTCAGCCAGCACCTGCCATGTGGCAGGTTCTACACTAAACACTTTACACATAGTTAGGGCCATCTCACCCAACCCTTAGAACACCCTGCCGGGAGGAACTGAGGACTCCATTTCCAGAGGAGACTCAGGGTTCTGTAACGGGCCCAAGGTCACTGAGCTATCAAGACCGGCAGGTGTCAGTTCAAAACCAAGTCGGCCTGACAGCTGTGTTCTGCAGAAGTGGTGACCGCCTCCAGCAGTGGCAGCGAGCATTACAGACATAATAGATCCACATGGCAGCTCTCTGCACACTGTGTGACCATCTGGTCATCAGCCACCACTGGCAGCCTCTGGCCCTCTCGGCAGGCCGTGGGACAGAGACGCAGGGGACGGGGCGGCCCCTCCCGCACTTACTTTCTCAGCACGGCTATCTCGTTCTCTATGCTGCTTTCTTTGCCCTTCAGCGCCTTCTTGGGGATACACTTCACCGCAAAGAGTTTTCCAGTTGCCTTCTCTTCAGCTAAAACCACTTCAGAAAAGGCCCCGCTGTGAACAAAGAGAAAAAGAACATTCAGATTCAGAAAACTGATTTCATCATGACTCCACGACCCCTGCCACTGACGTGTGGGTGACAATAATGACAACATGCGCCCAGGCAGCCCAGTTACTTTCACCCAGCGCGGCCCCTCACTGAGTGTCTTTATTTAAAAAAACCCACATGGGTAAGTGTGCTCCTGTGCAAAGGGACACCCAGAGGTCAACATGGGTCTGGTCACCTCCTGGTGCCACCTGTCACCTGCTGCTGAACATGACGTGTCCTCTGGAGCCAACAGGAGTGTTCTCATAAGAGCTCCCCCCCTCCCCCGCCCCTGCAAAAAGGACCAGGTCCCCAGAGACTAGAAAGTCACACTACAATTCTAAGGTTCCCACCGGCCCTTCATCCAGAGGAAATCTCAGAGCACTTTGCAGACCCTGGATTCCTTCTCCCAGGTAGGTAATGAGATGGTCACAGTGTGAGCCGCAGACCTCATGGTATCGACAAGGGGTAATTAACTGGCTGGGGTCCACCAGTCTTCATTAAGTAGCCTGTTTCCTTTTTAAACCAAATAAACAAACGAGAACCACACAATCAACTGTCTCCAGACCCCAGCAACTCGGGCTTTGCCTAAACAGGCCAAGGAAATGCCACAGCCACCGAGGGCTTCCCGATCCCCAGACTTTCAGAAGCAAGTCATCTTTCCACAGAGAGACTACAAAGCTGGCTTCTACACCATCAGAACTCGCCTGCTTCCGGATACAAAGGCTCCTGTATAAAAGAAACCACCAGAAGCCCCAAATGTGTTGCAACACCAGGGCCTCAGGGCCTGTGTTCTTCAGTCACCATCAAAGAGGTGCCTCAACACGGGAACACGCCTTTCGTGCCGCCCTCGCCCATCTGAAAGGGCTGCACACTCTGTCACGGTCCAGAGGAAGACAAAGGCATGATTTTCAAATCTTTCCAGTGAGAGGAATTCACTTCCACCGAGCACAATTAACTCTGAGTCTGCGGGGCAGGTTCCTATGGGAACGTGAACTCTTGTGAGAGAATTCGGTCCATCTGTCTCCAAGGCCTGTACCTAACTGCCCACACCTGAGGGGCAGAACGCAGTCATCTCAAAAGGCACGAACGAACAATGTCTGAACAGGGACCTTCTGTCCAAACCCACAGATTATTGTCAAGTAGGATTCTCCCCTCAGAACACTATCTGCTGAAGCTTTACAACCAGCCAGAAGAAAAATCATTAAAGATATACAAAGACCCACAATAGATTTATCACAGTGTAATAGATGGCCCAGTGGCTTTCTCCCGAGAAATCAATTGATACTAACTCTGGGGACTGTTCCTGAGCCCATGAACCACCTCTCCCCACTCACATCCTACTTGAGGGGAGATGGGTGGGTTTGCCTCACATGGAGCTTTCAGGGGGAGGAAGACCCTGAACAAGCAGGCACATGTCCCCTTTCACTATCCTCCAGGAGGTAGGATGAGAGCTGTGTCAGAGAGCAAGAAAACTCGGGCTGAATGCAGCAGCTCATGCCTATAATCCCAGCACTGTGTAGGGCTGAGGTGAGAGGATCATTTTAGGTCAGGAATTCAACACCAGCCTGGGCAACATAGCAAGACCCCATCTCCACCAAACGTTAAAAAATTAGAGGGGCACGATGATGCACGCCTGTAGTCCCAACTACCCAGGAGGCTGAGGCAGGAGGATAACTTGAGCCCACGAGTCTGAGGCTGCAATGAGCTATGATGATGCTGCTGTGATCCAAACTGGGCGACAGAGCAAGACCCTATCTCTAAAAGAGAAATAAGTCAAAGAGAAAGGTGGGTGGAAAAAGACCAGGGTTCAAAGACTATGGTGACTCCAGACACGCCATTGCATTCATTTTCTCTCTCGGCCACTTGAATCCCTAATCTGCTGGTCCTGGGTCTCTCAGGTTGATAAGTTCATTTTCCAGAAGAAGCAGTGGTGGTGACCAACTGCTAGGGCCTGGGCTGAGAACTGCCACAGGGCCTTCCTCTTCCTCGGCCACCCCCTCACTGTTCTCTGCACCCACAATGAGTTCTTCATCTACATATCTGTGTGAACAAACAGGACCACCTATACCAGCACAGGGGCCCCCTGCTGCAGACATCAGGAGCCCGTGAGAGAACAGAGCTTCTGTCAGAAGGAGGCTGCGGCACACATCACCCCTTGAGGGTTGACAGGCTGGGAGCGGGTCGGGAAGAAAGGTCTGCTGGGCAGCAGCAGGAACTGACGCCAAGGCCAAACAGTGGTGCCAGTGACTGGGGGTGGGGGACTACTAGTGACCCACAGTAAGAATAGGACAGTGGCACACAGGTATGTGAAGAGCTGCATGAGCTAAGCAGCCCCAGGGGTGACAACACAGGACCAAGGGAACTGCACTCACAGTTCCTGAGCACAGTACACAGAAGTGACATTCAGCTCCACTTCACAGACGAGGGTGCAAGTACTTAAGGGGCCAGAGAACAAGACTCCATCTCCCGTCCCCTCCTCAGCACAAGCACATTATGCTAGGCTGACCCATGCCGCTGCCAGGGCTCACACTTCACAAGCGCCGCAGGTGACAGTGACGGAGGGTCAGACCCTGTCACCGGGTGAGCTGCCATCCACCCTTCCCCAGCGGTGGCTCTGTCATTTACCCAACCAATGAGCATTCACCTCCTTGAAGCTTTGCAAAGACGAAGCTCTCTGGTCTTCTTAGGGTACACAAGATTAGCATAAATTGTTATTGTTCCCACAATAAATAGGAATCACTTGAACATCCTTCCCCTGTTCCAGGAAAGCTAATTAGAAACGTGAAAAACAAAACTCGTGAATGAGCAGTCTGAGCACTTTCAATGTGATTATACAACACAGGACACAGTGGGGTGTGTGTGTGTGTGTGTGTGTGTGTGTGTGTCAGAGAGAGCTAGAGAGAGGGAGCGAGGGGGAGGGAGAGGTAGGGAGGCAGGTGCTGGTGGCAGTAAAGATGACAGCAAGGAAAATGATCTGAGAGCCTATAGAATAAAAGCCTTCAGACAGCCCAAGAACATAAATTCTAAGGAACAAAAGCAGGAACAGAGTGACAAAGTTTTAAAAATACAAAGAGGTCAAAGCAGGGCGCACACTCCGTAGGCTGTTAAATACAAGTGTTGCGCATTTAAAACTGAATGGCCAAGCACCACAGCCTCATTGAGCCTGGCGTCCAGAGCTGCTAGTCATCTGGGTGTGGCCTCCACTGTGCCCGCTGCTCTCTGCAATCTGAACTTCCCCCTCACCACCTCTATCTGAAACTAGCTGAGCTGGCTCCCAGAGGGTCCTCTAGCTGCTGAACCCAATGGCCTTTTCTCACTACTCATCTTACTGGTCACTGGTCTAGAGGGCCTTGTCCTCCTTCCTAAAACTCTCTTCTGGGTTCCACAATAGTCCTCTTCTCTGTCTTTATGTCCTTTCTCTTCTTCCTCCCTTCAGACACCAATGGTCCCCAAGATTTCATCAGAAACCTCCTTTATTGCTGTTCTATAACCTCCCCCTGGAAAAATCTCAGTTGTCTCCATAGCTTCACCCCCATCTGTCCCCTGTGGGCTTCTTGACCTGGATCTAGTTTTTAATCTCATATACAAACCTCACCTTCCCAGCTGTCCCTTGGGGCCCTGACCAGCCTCTCAAGAGCACTGTCACCAGGCAGGGTGTGGTGGCTCACAGCTGTGATCCCAGCACTCTGGGAGGCCAAGGCAGGTAAACTGCCTGAGCTTAGGAGTTAGAGCCCAGCCTGAGCAAGAGAGAGATCCTGTCTCTAAAATTAGCAAGTGTTGTGGCAAGCACCTATAGTCCCAGCTATTCAGGAAGCTGAGGTGAGAGGATTACTTGAACCCAAGAGTTCTGAGGTTGCTATGAGCTATGATGCCATGGCACTTTACCCAGGATTAAGGAGTAAGACTGTCTCAAAAAAAAAAAAAAAAAGGCACATTGCCATAGGGAGAATCAGTATCTTCACCTTAGAACTTTTCTCTTTCCTACATTCCATCTCTCATTCCTGGTGATCCAGTTGACATAGACTAGAAATCTGTCCACTTGACTCCTCTCACTCTCATTTCCATTGCCAAGTGCATTCAGGTCTTCTGATAAGAAGACGCGCAAATGCTCATCTGTCCTTCCTTCCCCACGCCATGGCTCTGGTTCATGCCTTCCTATCTTGCCTCTGGTCTTATCCTCATCCTTATCTCCAGACTCCCTCCTGGTCCCCGGCCCCCAGCAAGCCTGCCTGCTACCCCACTATCTCCTATCTGCTATTGGAATTCCTTTTCTAAAACAAAGATCTCATTATGTCATCAACCCTAGTTATGCTGAGGTTTCAGGTCTGTAAGATAAAGTTCAAATGCCTCTGCAAGTTGCCTGTGGCCTTCAAAGGCCTTCCAAACCCAACCCTAGCTTTGTAGGCTCATCTGTCACCACAGCCACCGTACACTGCCTCCTTGTCTTATGCATGTCACCTCAACCCAACACATCTGTCACCTGCACAAGCATACCCATGACCTTTCATTCCACTGGCCTTCATCCAAGTTCCACCAACCTCCTCCTGCCTTTACTCCTTGTTCTTTCTGCTTGGCAAAATTCCTTTTATTCTTTTCTTTTTTTTTTTTTTTTTTTTGAGACGGAGCCTCAAGCTGTCCCCCTGGGTAGAGTGCCGTGGCATCACAGCTCACAGCAACCTCCAACTCCTGGGCTCAAGCGAGTCTCCTGCCTCCGCCTCCCAAGTAGCTGGGACCACAGGCACCCGCCACAATGCCTGGCTATTTTTTGGTTGCAGCCATCATTGTTGCTTGACCGGCCTGGGCTGGATTCGAACCCACCACCTTAGGTGTATGTGGCTGGCGCCTTACATGAGCCACAGGTGCCAAGCCTGTCCTTTTATTCTTTAAAGGCTAAGATGGCCTAGTTCTTCCTCTTACAAGGTTTTCTCAGTTGCCTCTCATGGCTACCTTCCTTGTGAGGTGCAGG